CTATCTGTCTACTCTGACTCTGACTGGGCCAATGATAAAGATGATCGCAAGTCTACCACGGGCTACATACTCCTACTCGGTCCTAATATCATCTCTTGGTGCACGAAAAAGCAGACTCGTGTTTCTAGATCATCCACTGAAGCTGAATATCGAGCTATGGCTGCAGGGGTTGCAGAAGCTATGTGGCTTCGATATATCACTGATGCACTGGGTATTCCTCCATCCAAACCGAAGTTATACTGTGACAATGAGTCGACTATCTGTGTCACCAAAAATCCGATTCTTCATGATCGCATGAAGCATGTGGGCACAGACTGTCACTTTGTACGAGATGAGGTTATGGCAGGCACTATGACTCCACATCATGTTTCCTCCTCAGAGCAGCTAGCAGACATTCTTACCAAACCGCTTCCGCCAGTTCCTTTTGAGTACTTATGTTCCAAGCTGCCCCTCGTCTCCGTTGATCAGCTTGCGGGGGGATATTAGGAAGTATAATTAAATTAGGATACTTCTTTCCTTTCCTACTAGGATTATTCTTTCCTTTCCTACTTGTACTTTGATTACTCTTGTATTCCCTATATATAGGGCCATATCTCTCAACATTCAATAAGACAAGTTGTTATCAAATTGTATCAGTCTCCACAGTTAAGTATTCTCAAGTCGTCTGTATAAAAATCATTTTATCTTCGAGAGATTAACGGTCTTTATCAAGTTAAGTATCCAATGATCCTCTTGCAAGTTTTTAATAGAGTCAGCGTCAAGAACTAAGGTTCTTTTGTAGTGTATAACATCGTATTTTAGATTATACTTGACATGTTTGCACATAACTTTGTTCATCCACAAATCTCAATTCCACAACATTGATTAACGATATTCTTTCTTTGATTGAAAGTTCTTCAATGGCATTTGTAGTTTCAAATTATCAAGTTCACGGGAGGTATAGTTTGGAGGTTGCTTCAATTTACACGTCATAGTGTAACCTTCTAAGTTACTCAAGAAATCTTCACATCATTCATACAGTTCAGTAATGACTCGTAAGTAGCATTCGTCCAACATCAAATGACTTTTAGTGGTTCAGGATTTTCAGAATGTGGGACTTGTCACCACTTGTGAGAAAGTATTGTCAATTGGTTGTACAATAGTCTGTCATCATCGATCTTACGTCAAACCATTTTCTTCACTCACCTTCGTAATAGTTCTCATCACTATCAATGGGTCTCTAGATCAATTCATAATCATAGGTGATGATGTTCAAGTGACGTCTCGTATTCGTTTCGTTGTATTCAATTTTCTTTCATCGATTGGAAAGTAGTATATCCAGGTATGTTTATGAAAACGATACATTCGACTGTAATGCTATGGTTGATCTCGTTTTGAGTGAAAAAGAGAATATCTTCAGTACGTGATTTAATTCATGACTTCATGATGTGACATAGGGAAAGAAATCTTTATCCATTATTGTCCTCTTTTCGAGTTCATCAACGTTCTTATGAAGATTTCAGCAAATATATTCAGTTCAGAATGTTAGGCTTGAATGGTTCAATTTGGTTTATATGCTCTTTATGACGTCATTTGTTCTTCTTATTCTTGCACAAACATTCCTTTGCTAAGGTTAGAACAAAGTTTTTTGATCATCAATAATTATTTTTAGAGATAACGTAATTACGTAGATCATTTCCTGGTTTGCAGAGAGAGGTAAAATATTGTTCAAGCCAAGGTATTACTCATTGTGATCTAGTCATAAGGTTCACAAAGTGTG